CTTTTGAATATGATGATACATTTTTGATATTAAGTTATCAAAGTAAACAATTCTGTTCATGATTTTTTTGATAATCATGTTGATAACATGACAACTAAAGCAGAAAGTAAGGATTTTAGTGAGTTAATGGAAAATATGAAGATGGAAAGGCGACGATAACGATAATAACAATAACAATAACAATAACATAAATCAAGAATGTCTAGATTATTAAATACGTCATCTTTAATATCAGATTTAGCAATCACAAAAATGATGAACCATTTAAATTATATTAATGATGATTAATGAGAAAAGTTGATTATAAATCGCTTTGTATAAATTTTATTGCGCAAATTTGACAATGAATTTCTCTTTATGAATCACAAAGAGCAACTCACAATTTTGCATTTTTATCAATTTTAACAACCACTTTACCAAAATTTTTACCGTTCAACAGTCCCAAAAAGGCTTCAGGCGCATTTTCAATTCCTATAACGAATTCTTCTTTATACTTTAATTTGGAAGATTTAAACCACTCATTCATATCTTTTAGAAACTTCTCATACAATTCTTTATAATGATCGGTCACAATAAAGCCTTGATAAAGAGCACGCTTTGGAATAGTAGCGATAAGGTTTTTGATACGGTATGGTTTTTCAGCATTGTATTGTGATATCATTCCACAACCTATCACTCTTGCAAAATCATTCAATTGGAGCAATACTATATCCAACATCTCTCCTCTATTAAAAAAAGAAAAGTTTTTGTTATTATTTTCTGTTTATGGCAAATAAATAATGTTTTAAGAAATTATAAAAATATTACCCAACATTATCAAAATAAATATCTATTCCATTTGGACATAGTTCTTTTAATTTCTGATCAAAAAATGTTTTTTAAGAATTGTTAATATACAGATATACATATACATGCATTTGTATACTATACAATTATCTTTTTAATTATTTAATTTAAGAGTCACCTACCTTTTTGATATCAACTTTTTTATAATTGAAAGCTCCATCCAGTTTCAATTCATTTAAAAGGAAATCAACTTTACCATCATCACCAGCGGAACCTATAAATATAAAATAAAGTTTCATTAACATATGATTTTCATTAAAAGTAGAAAAGGGCATAAATTATTTACCAACAACACGTAATCCTAAAATTTTAGAGATTTGACAAGCAACTTGTCCTACTGCGCCTGCTGCTGTCTGATTTTAATAATAATTATCAGTTATAATTTTTTGTTTACCCATGTCATGTTTAATTGTTTTTGCTTACCGAAATATAAATAGTTTCGCCCTTTTTTGGTTGGCCAATTTTAAATAATCCACAATAAGCTGTCATACCAGGCATACCAAATAGTCCCAAAAAATAGCTAAGTGGAATACCTAAATTTTCAGCAGAATTTAAACCCTCAGTGAATCTTGAATTTTGATTTGCAGTTTGCGCCGGAATCACCGAATATTCCTCCCATCCTAATGAATGAATGAAGAAAAAAAAAAAGAAAATATATATATATAATAGTATAATTCTAGACTGATTATATAATATTTACCCCTAAGAAGAATGATTAAATCTAATTCGAAGAATAAAATGAAGAAATGATAACAACATCATAATAATAGTAATAATTTTTGTTGTTAAGAATCAGCAACAATAATAATTACAATAGAATGTGTGAGAGAAAGATACGACTACTCCATAATTTCATATGATTTTAAAATGTTCAAATCAAAGACCCTTTTTTAATATAATTAATTATAATTTAAATTATAATTATTATGGTTGTTGTTATTTAACTTCTGTGAATGGAAGGGGGAGCAAAGGTCAAACGTTGTTCATAAAATTTAATCATCTACATGGAAAAATTTTTATTAAAGTTTCATGATTCATTTAATATTCCTTAAATCCTTATAAATAATCAATTTTACCTTTTGAGGACATTTCATATTTGCTTCTTTAGCTGGATTTCTTGAAGTTCTACCATCAGCCCTAATTAATATTAATATTTAAAGTAGATTATATTATTCTTAATACCAACTATGATAGCATAGATCAACAATAGTCATTAATATTATTATTAATTTACCATCTTAAATAAACCAATAATTCTCCAGTTTTTTCATCACGAGTGACGGTTTCAACTGCAACAATTTCTTCCTCCCAGCATTCAGAATCATCATCATCAAGACTCTCTTTTATTATAGTTTTAGTTGTTTTTGCTTTTTTGGGACTTCGTTGGCTTTTAGTTTCCTGTTTGGCAGAAGGAGATGATGTGGATAGTCTTTTTTTACCTTTTGGGGCTGTGACTGTTGAACTCTTGGAGCTTGCAGCTGCTACTGTCCTCTTAGAACTTGTGGCTGCTGCTGTAGTTTTAGAACTTGCTGAGCTTTGTGCACTTTTAGAAGTCTTTGATGGATCTTGGAGTTTATCCCAATATTCTTTTACAAGAGCTTCAGCAAAGCTTTAATGTATGTATGTGTATATATAAATATGTTTGAATAGGTTTTACTATGAGATTCATTGCATGATAACAAAGCTTTAACATAATTATTTTAATTATTTTTGAATAATAGTTACACATTGTCTTCGTTTTCCCAAGTTGCCTCATCTTCAGAATAACCTATAACATATAAAGATATTTAAATTAATATATATATATTATATAAAAATCAAGATATTATAGTCTTCTTTTTTCTATTAAAATAATTATATTATTATTAATAAGTAATACCTTTCCATTTGATAAGATACTTTGTTTTGCCCTAAAATTATAAGATTTTATAAAATTATCAACTTGAGATTATTTTTAAAAAAAAATATCATTTCAATTTTTTAAAAAAAGATCGGATACTTTATAT